CTCAGCTTTCCTTCAGCCAACGGCAAAGAATGAAGCAAGAGGGCAAAAAGACAGACAGACAGACAGACAGACAGAGAGAGAGAAGAAAGATGCAGGCAAGCAGACAGGTACCGTATATGACGCAAGATAACACAACCCCTGGACCAACTTTCAAAGCTCGATTACTCCACGACGAAGAGGATGCATAAACGAAACGATACATTTTTGGGAAGCTCTCGACGAGGCGAGACGGTTCCAACGCCACCATTTCGGCGCCGTGACTCTTCCTTTCTGTTGTTGAGAATCGAGATTTGAATATCGGTCCAGGGGGTGTGTTATCTTGTGTCATTTACGGTAGACAAGGCACAAGTACCTGCACTTGCTGCCGCCCTTCCCTGCCCCCCGGGAGACAACACCGCTGCCCCTCTCCACTGCACGCCTAAGAGAGTCCTGCAGCCTTCCGTACTCCACTTCCTTCTTGCGGATCGATGCCCGGTACTGGGTGTCCCGGCTCTCCAGCTGAACACACCGCGTCTCCAGCTCCTACGTCGGCGCACCAAATGAACAGGCCCGCATAAGATTGCCGTGCACAGATTCACAGACAGGTCGTATCCACTGCGATACATAGCCGGAGATCAAACCGGTTTCGGAAAATAGAGCAGCCTTCCGCAGGCGATGAACAGGTCGCCCCATGAAAACCCGCGTGGGTCTAAGCGCGTTCGCTTCGGATGATACGGTGCGTTCCGCCCCTCCCGATGGCTTCGGCAAAAAGGATACGCTCGAACAACAAACACGGCACCGTTTTGGTGTTGTCTTGAGGGCCTCTACTTGAAAAGCACCTTCTAATATGCGTGCTGGTCCAACTGACACGGTCGCCTTGTGTGGTTACGGACCAACTACCCAGAGGCATGCGGCCGAAACTTCCTGATACACGCGTGGCAACAACAGCAAGTGCACACACGAAACGAGTTTTCCCTACAACAAAGAGAGGTGAGGGAAGGGTTGCACCGCAAGTAAGGACCCACCTTTCCGCCCTCGCCTGTGCCCCACAACGCTACGACCCCAAAAGGTGATAGTTGGATTGCCCACAAGCCAAGCCCCCCTTGAACAAAGGGCTACACCGCAAGCCAAGGTTCCCCTCGCCGGTGCCGCACTAATTTACGGCCAAAGAAAGGTGAATGAAGAGCTACACCGCAAGCCACGGCCCCTCTCGCCGGTGCCGCACTAAATTATGGCCAAAAACAAAGGTAAAGAAAGGGCTACACCGCAAGCCAAGGCTCCCCTCGCCGGTGCGGCAATACGACTTTACGGCCGAAAAAAGGTCAAGGAAGAGCAGTGTGGTACCTGTTTGTGCACGAACCAGCGTGCGCGCTCCACCCGGTGCTCCTCCCCTTCCGCCCTCGCACGTCGCTCGAGGGCCGACCGGTCTTGCTCCGAGCACTCCAGCCTCGCCGTCAGCGCCCTGTTGTCGTGAGCGGCCTTGGTCGCCTCTGCCTCGCGGCGCCTGAGCTGGCTGCTCAGGGTCTCCATTGCGGAAAGGAGGCGTGATCGCTCCGACAAGAGCTCGTGGAGGCAATCTTCGAGGCCCGGCAGCTGGGAATGTGTTTGGCGGGGTGGGGCCGGTACGGGGGCCGGAGGGGGGGGCGTGAACTCATGTAAACGCATGCCGTGATCGTTCGCGCGGTGTGTATACGCCAACGTTGGCGCGCGCGAAGCGAGCTCCAGTGGCTCGGCACACAGCGATCTAGGATTGCTCACCAACCAAGCTTTGGGGTGTGAGTGTGGGAAAGGGTAAGGGTTTTAAGGGGGTGAGTAGGCCTTGTCGCGCCTAGCGCCGGGGCGTAGCCTGAGGGCTGGAAAACCCGCTAGTTGCTTTGGTTTCGTGTTTGCCTCCAACTAGAATCAAAAGCTGTAAAACTGAAGCAAGTCGCCAACATTGGCGTATTTTCCGCCGGTCCGTAGCCGTTAGACCATTGGCCTCGCGTCCCTACAACGCCGGGACGGAGCGCTTTGCTCGGTTTCCGCCGGTCCCGGCTAAGTTTCACAAGGATCAACCAGGAGGGGGGGAGAAGGAGTTAAATACTTGGTTTGTTCACCCCTCCGCACCCTTTTCGTGATGAAGCAAGCACACCTTCGACGAATAAACAAAGCCCGCAGCACGACACGAGTGGTGATTGGCGCAGCAAGCGTGCAGAGAGAGGCGGTGCTGCCATGAGATCCGTGCTTGTGATGTGCAGTGCAACCCCCCCCCTTACAACTGATGCACGACGCCCCCACGAGTCCTGACGGCGACGAACGCATCTCTTCTCTCTGCGAAGTCCTTCCACACGGCAACCACAAACAAGCAGCCCCACCCGCAGCAAAGTAGAGCAAGAACGATAGCATATGTCGTGCCACTGCAGTCGAGAGAGTCTTGCCACTGCAGTCGAGAGAGTGCCAGCCCCTCTCTCTTGTTGTGCATTGGCTAACGTCATTCCGAGCTACATATTGTTGCTGCTCTGGTCGATACTTCTTGCCATGTAGTGCTGATGCCTCTCTCAGCTGTGCTGACGACTGGAGGAACAGCAGCAGCAGCAGCAGCAGCAGCAGCGGATGCGTTGCTTCGTTTGTACCTTAAAGCCCCTCTTGTGCCTTGTGTTTTGCTGGGTAAGACAAGAGCGTGCTCCTAGGGTGCTCCTTTTCAGCGGTGTCGCCAAATGCCGACGGCGAAGTGCTGTACTGGCAACAAAACGCCTCCCTCCGCCGTGCACGTGGAAACCCATCTTACCTCTGTTTTTACCACATCACCTAAAGCTACAGCGGTATCTTTCTTTTTCGAAGTGCTACAGTCTACGGGGGACACAAATAAATAGCGAAATTTCACACGTTTACGCTGCAGTATGAACGATATTCCCAGGAGATGGAAACCGAAAGTGTTCCATGAGAAAGCAGCACCAGCAAGAATGCTCGATCCACGCATTTGCAACCTCAGCGTTTCGGCGGTGTGCTAACATGATGCGTGTGCAAACAGTGAGTTTTCGAGTTTTTTTTCTCCGTAGACTGGTGGTCGAGTGACATCACCCCGCCCTCCTGTCCGAAGATGACGGTGGACGAAAAACGCTAGTACGCGGGAAAAATGACACGGCCTTTCCTCACAAATGGTGACACGCCAACTGGACGTGCGGAATCTGTTGCTTGTGCACGTGCCGTTGTGTGTGAAACCACAGCAGCAGCAGCAGCAGCAGCAGGATACGCGCACGAAACCATACGTACATTTAGTGGTGGTGGCATACAGTATGCCCATGCATGTGTGCCAATGCCACAACCATTGTGTGCATGTACATCACACTTGCCAGGACACGGACACACCGTCGTTACAATCAAACGAGAGTTCACAAAATGCCGGCGCGGCTCAATAACCGGACCGCTACAAGTGCTGTCATCAGTCGGGTTCGGACTCATGTAGGACCAGCCAGCCGGACGCACGCAACACATGTCTTCATTGAATTGGTTCCGTTGGCTATTTGCGTCAAGGGGGGGGGGGGGGGAAAAA